TCATATCATCCACACCACAGCAGCAAGCCTTAAAAATTTTTAATCTCATTTGATACAAGCTACATCCAAATACGACTAAAGCGTAAACATCACAAATAACTCCAAATTTTGTAAGCCGCCAAAGGTGTCACCTAGAAGCGACGAACCTCATAACGCCTAAAAGCATCCCACAATTCTAACAACGTTCTCCTGAACGTAAACGCCAGTCCGTATCGACCAGACTTTATTGGGTATCATGTCATTACCCCCCGCCGAACCGTTATATATTCATCCCCAAGAACCGCGCGCCAGGATGCGACGAAGGTCGATAACCCCAGTTCCAATTACAAGGGACACTGTTTATTCAAGTCGTTCGCTTTCGAGCTAGTGCGCCTGCTTTCTTTTTGCGACTAGAAGCCATTCCAACGAAAGCTGCATCATCAGCCTCTTCTCGTGTATCGTCGAACTTGTCATTCCCAATAGTGACTATTTTCACAACATTACCGAGAGCCACCGCAATCGTTCTTTTGCCGACTCGTTCAATCGGTCCAAGTCCGCTGACAAGGAGATGCCCCCGACCGTAATTGTCATCCGACAGAGGAGCAGAATATTTTTCACCTTTCGCACTGATGCTCCAAACCTCCCAAACGTCATCATCGGAGACAGGGTGAATGTCCGCACGTTTAGAAAAGGCACGTGGAAGACCACCGCGGTGACGAAGGCCTGGTATGGAAGTGTGACCGTTCATCGCTTCCGTAACCTTAACTGCTGCCTCTCGTGTCCGAATACCAACGATGTACCCAACTTGAAGTGCTTGCCATTGTCCCGGATTTTCGATTTCGAATGTTTTCTCAACCGTCTCCCCCCAAAGACAACAAGTTTTACTTCCTGGGGTCCACGGATCTCGAAAACATATTGTATCGCCATCACGCTGGGGAAGATACGACTGCAAAATGCATGATCCTGTTTCAATGCATGTATATGCAAGCGCTAACGAGGCTAGCCCAACTGATCCGCATTGTGGCCGGCGTCGAGTCGAGTGGAAACATCGCAATGAGTCTGGCGCCATTGACTTAGTTGGAAATGTGTGTGTAACCTTGTGCGTAAAGATGTCTACGAGATCAACAGTATGCTCTCGCACAGCGAGAAATGAGCTCAAGGCGGGCAGAGGTACGATAGAGCGAATCTCTTTATCGTCTGGAATTTCTGGAATTTCAAGCCCTTCTGACACCCATCCTTCGTCCATTTGTGAAGCTACATGCACGCAACCTTTTCTGGATGATGTGACAATCCGTGGCGGAGGATGAGGATACTGAGGACTTGGTTTCTCGAAATGTGGTCGAACGCATACGAGAGGACTATGGCAAATGCGCATCTGTTTACTTTCGTTTGCTTCCATGTGTAATTCTGTCATGACACCATTATGTCGAGCGACCAGTAGCGGGTCAATAAGCTCTGATTTATCGTAGCCAAATAGAAAAGCGGCCGGGGTGCGGTTCTTCATCTCGACATCCATAACAGGACCCCACCGCCTTTCTGGGATGTTCCACAGCATAACTTTGTCTTTGGCTGAAAGTATAGCTAGCCAATTTGAGTCCGAATCAATCGCCATGGCCAGGACAGGGAATGGATCTATTTCGGAATCCGGATCGTGAACGATGTAGCTGAAAGTGCCTTTTCGAATATCCCATACATGTATACACCGGTCCAATCCAGCAGTAGCAATAACACCGTCATTAGAAGCCTTCATGAGAACGATATCCAGAAAATGACCATGGCTCAAGGTTTTGACAGAAAGTAAAGGATCGTCTTCGGGTCGCTCCACATCATCAATATCTGGAGATTCGTCCCAGAGAAGCCAGTTCATAATCAAAGAAACGGCAGCGAGTAGAAACACCACTACTGTAAGTAATACTCCGAATTGATTTCTTGCGAAATCATAGGCAGCTGGTAAAAACGGTCTGACCCCAAATCTTGTTGCATTCCTATCCGCGCCATTAAGAACAAATATTACGGGGTTGTAAACACGCGAGATGATGCGGTTAGCGTTTGGTTTGATGACTTGAATCATTTCATGTGCCGTTTCGTGGTCTTGCAAGCGTAGCCAGGCGGTTGGGGTTCTTGCTTGATTGATATCAACCGAAAGAAGCGCTGTGGAATTTTGTCGTGGCGAAGATGTTTGAGAAGTAATCAATTTTAGGAGTCTTTGCACAGTCCCAAACAAGCTCTCGTTTTCGAAGAAATGCCACTGTGCAATAACAACGAATCCTATCATTAAGATTGTCCCTGCTATTCGGGTAGAGGCTGGAGCTTCCCCGCGTAATATTGCATCAAACCAAGTCTTTCTTTGTTGTAGCTCAGGAGAGTCTCGATCATTTCGAGTCGTCTGAATACGACTCAAGGAATCTGTAAGCTCGGTTCGTCTAACATCGATGCTCAGTACAGCTGTGAAAAATGTCAATAGATAAAAGTAATCTAGAATCAGAGCAAGAGCTACGAAGGTTGCAAACGCGCTGATGGGTGGATAGACCACCGTTGACAGCATATATAGAATGGTGATGTTCTGAGCCAGACTAGCAAGGGCGACATGACCATTTTGACCTAAAGCATCCCCCATCCTGGTGGCGGTAGGTCGATCAGAAGGTGTCATTATGACAGTGTTGATTAGAGTGCATATATTTTGCGTGCCCAGCGCAGCAATGACAAGTGGATAAAACTCCCGCGGAATCTTGGACAAGTCGATTTTGAGAATCGCACAGATGGTGAAGCTCGACATGGTCGAAACCGCAATCTGGGTCAGTGCCGCAAATATCAAACCGAGTCTGGACTTCAAGGCTCGCATCTTGAGAAGATTGATGAAAAAGTAGGCCGACAAAACAGCGTAAATCAAAACGAGAAACAGGTCGTCCTGTATTGAAAGCGGCTGGAATCGAAATTCGTACAGGGTGCTTGCGGCCGACGTGTCGTCTGGCGGTATTATTTTCCATTTATCAGAGCCGCGACGTGCGATCTCTTCTCCTCTTCTCTCCCACTGCCTCCCAACAGGAGAATCGATCATATGGACCAGGGTGATCACTAATGCGTCTGCTGCGACCAGCCTGTGGTCTTCGAAACGCTTCCCACTGAAGACAATGGAATGGCGAAGTGTAACATTGACCGAGGTAGCTTGTTTAGCTCCCTCGTTCACGGTCTTTATTATATCCTTATCCCCATCGATCCGATTCTGGTCGCAGGACCAATATTGTAGCGGCGAGTGAAAGAACCACGACGAATTGCTCATCCCATTGATCGCGTGAAATCTGTCCCTCGTGTCGGCCGTCATGTCAATTGGTATTGGGTCCGGCAACGGTTCATCCACAGGCCTGCGGGGATTAAAATCTGTTGTCGGCCCTAGAAGCTCATTCTGTATCTCGAGTGCGGTCTTGAGCACGTCCGAATCCAATGCCTTCATATAGCTCCCTACGTCGATCAGCAAAGCACAGATCAGTCAACCACCCCCTCGCCACCGTACCGTGAACCCATATCGATCGCATCACCACGTCTGGTCTTGTATTACCTCCCCCTTCGAACGGTTGCGCGGATGTCCACACGTGGTGGGGTAGATTCGAGGCGCCATTGGTAAAATTATTCGTGTATAGAAACGGAAAAGGGTATATTAGAATTGATGCGACGGCGAGCGAAATCAGGAGGGTAATGACTGGATGCTTTGCAGCATTGGTACCGTATCGAGTGAAGTTATGTCGGAGAGGATGCTTGACGTCAAGCTTTGGAGGTTCTGTTGTCCTGCAGCAAGGTTAGTAACTTTGGCGGCGCCGTGTAGCTTCCGCATCCACTGACCCGCGAAACGGATACAACAGATACCAGATCATTGAAGCTGGATTTTCGGTAACCTTGCCAGCCAGCACAAGCAGGGCAATGGCTAGCACAAGAGCTTTATACAGTCAGTATCAATGGCGGCGGATTGCGCATGTGCCGGGGAAAATGATGAAGGTATTCGCGATTCGAAAGATGAAGGCCGCCCACTACGCGCTCCTAAAGCTTCTTGCACGGTCGGCTGAAGGTTGAATCACGATAACCAAAGGCCATTAGGGTCATGTTTGGTGGTACAAATGAGTGTTTGTTTCGGAGCGTCACCGCCAGAGCTGGGGCTGGAGCTGTTCCGAGTCTCTCAGTCTATCCACAGGAACGAGGGGATCTGGAGAAGATATGCGACGTGAAACCGTGTCGTCCGTCGAGGATGCGAACTGCGAAGGCGCTCTGCCGTCTACGGCGCTCGCACTATCGATAGTTGTAGGAATCGTCGGCTGCAGAGAGAAGTAGGAGCGTGGCGGGAGGAGGTGGTGGTGGAGGTGGAGATGGAGGGATGAAAGTGAAGCGAATGTTGAAGGTATCACGGCTCAGGTTCTGCGGTTTTGCGATTCTGCAACAAGCGAGAGCCAATGTTCGATGCCAACCAAGACCCACAGAGGAACACTTCTGCACTGACCTCAATTCCACTTGACTTTTGTCTTGCGCACTTGGGGTAATCAATGGCGAATGGTTTCTCCAGCATTATAAAGCTAGTCTTTGCCAGTCCGAGTCGTCGCATTTGTTTTGACGCTGACGATGATGCGGGAAATGGCTCGAGACAAATCCGGGGCACAACAAAGAGCTTGTCCTCCACGAGTATCTGTGTACACCAAAGAGAGAATACCCTCAGTGTTACAGATCTCCAGAAGCAATTCGTCGTCCAGATCTTGGTGGAAGAGCGCCAAAACGCCCAAAGTCCATGGCTTGTGGCAAAGAGTGAATGCTTTGGACCCCTCCTCATCCCGGACAAGCTCAGCAGGAAAGACACATGCCAACTTACATATATCAAACGCTCTCAACATCACTCTTTGCATGCCTCTCGTCAATAAATCCATCACTGTCGACCAGTCCAGACTGACCGCATACCTAGCGCCAAGTATGTTCTCAGTTGTAGAACGAATCATGATGCGCCGATGACAGGGTCTTGGGTGATGATACACCAGTCCAGTCCTCCCCTGGTCGACGAGTTCTTCGATCTGCGAGATTCCGCAACGGCGGATGGGAAGGACAAGATGGATGGCACGGCGATGAGCGGGTTCAAAAAAGTCGCAATAGCCTCAAGCGAGAGCGTCGTCGTCCCCCTTCTATATATATTCATTCGCGAAATCTACTTGCATCAAGGTCTCGCCCAACTCAAAAAATCAGATGGTTTCTCAGGTGTTCGACGTAAGTATCACCCCATTTCTTGCGGCGATAGGCCATAACGATAATGTGCCCGCCATTAGGTGTTTGTAAAGCGAATATGAACCGAGCCAAGGGAGAGATAGTTACACGCTGCCGCTATTCAATTCTCCTTCCATCATTATACGAGACGCATCTTTGCATTTGACCTTGGGATAATCTCATCAGAGCCAGTCAATAGAGACCGATCCAGCTTCGAACCCGATGGCGGGGTACGGAGTAAGCTTCATATTGCCAATTGCTCTTTTCGGGTACCGACAGTGAACATTGCTTTTCCTTAGACATTTCAGCTGTTCATTGGATCTAGACCTCTCGGCTGTAAAGGGGGCTTCTCGGTTAAAGAGACACTAATCAGCACGCATCATTCCACTCTTGTGCAGAATGTACTGGCGAACATTCTTACAGACCTGAAGTACAAAGTGTTTATTTCAAGTTCTAATTATATTATTGGACAAGATATTGAGCTAATCAGAACCACTGTTACCGGTAAGTCATTGGATCTTAGACAACGTTAAGTCGCAAGTCACCAATAACAAGACCTCGTGCAGCAAAGATTACACAAAAAGTTTCAGCCAGTCGTAAAGGAATTTCATTCATTGGCCGAAAAAACACATCTATCGACGACACAATAAATCAAAGATAGAGCTACGAAGTCAATTGTATAAATTTTCGGACGTCAGTCACCTCATCAAACACAACGCGAGTCGTAGTAGAGATATTAACAGCTTCTCTTTGAAGTTGCAACTTGACATGATCGAATCTAATAATCCATGAAATAAGAGAGAAGAATTTCGAATCACTTAGCAGATATCTTTAAGAACAAAACTCCAGATTCTGTACATTAAATCGGAACAAATGCCGCCACCCATCCCACAGGCGGAGCCTAACCGGACGCCTCGCGCAAGATACAATTATCACTTCTTGTCAAGACTGACGAAACTCTTAAATGATGACGGAGAATGCGATCTCAGCGAACAACTTCAGAAATATAAATCATCACGATTGCAGGCTTTGAGAGGTAGGCAGAACAGCCATCGACTTTGACTATACTAATATCTGTGACCAAAAGGCTCTGCAACACCGCCCTCCATACCAATCGAGCCGGCAAAAGCTCCTGAGCCATGTATCTCGGAACCAGCTGGCGAGCTCAGTATTGTAATACCCTTAAGTCCTCAGATCGAAACACTTCTCAAAATTCCACATGGAAAGCAGCCTCACGAAGAGCTCTCTACCACATTCTTCTCTTTTTTAAGAAAAGGCGATATTCTACATCGAGGTATCCACGACTCTCGCTGGGTCATAAAGATCAGTGAAGATATCATCGTCAAATGTGGCCCTAACGTCGATGTGCGCGAAATTCAAACCCTAAATTATCTCTCGCCTTTCAAAAAGCAGATTTTGTGTCCTGAGCCCCACGGAGCAATTTCAGTGGGTAGGTGGACGTACCTCTTCATGTCTTATATCGCGGGCACACCTCTCTCGAAACCCTGGCCCGCGCTATCACCTAGTCAAAAGACGAGCGTGCAAAGACAGCTTGACACTGTTTTCAAGTGTCTTCGGAGCATCCCCGCACAATCTGAACTTTTTGGCAGTGGTACTCCGCCACGCTGTAAAGATCTCCGAACAAGTCTAAGAATTGCCGATAAACCCATTAGCAACGAGGAAGAATTCAATTCCTTCCTCGTTCACACAAACCGCGAGCGCAATCCCATCTACTTAAACCTCATTTCCTCAGGATTATCCATAAATCATCGCGCAGTCATGACACATAGCGATCTCCATCCTGGCAACCTTCTTGCACGACTTGATTATAACGGTGGCATAGAAGTGACGGGAATCATAGACTGGGAGATGAGTGGCTTCTATCCCGAATACTGGGAATACATCAAAGCTCACTCATACGTCCATTACGACGTTAGTGATTGGTATAGTTACCTACCGACCGATGCTATTGGCAATTATGGGGATGAGTGGAGACGGGATTGTTTGGTTACTAGATTGACGATGTAAATTACCTGTGAGTTACGTTGAACACGAACGTGCCATTGTGCTATTTGGGTATAGGTACTTAGGTAGTTGAGGAGCAAAAGAGTAAGAAACAAAAACATACAACAGTAGGTATTCGCTGGTGGTCACCCACCCAACTACTAATCTACCGATCTGAAGCTTGAGTTTGGCAGAGCGGACGGGATGCCCTATTCTCTTCAGTCTATGGTCGTATGTGACGAGAATTCTTGGTTCTGGGTATCTAAACTGCGCTTAATAGGTTGCTCGAGGATTCAATCTAGCAACCCGGCGAAAATAGCCTCTTATGGCTAGCGACATAATGTAATTATCTTTAAAGGTACTCGGACTTTACTTTATCAGACTCCCAAGTTACGAATTTAGAGATATTAGGGTTTAGCCAGTCTTTCGTCGAATAAAACAATTCTTCGAATCTCCATGTAATGTAGATGAACTCATCACTTAATCGCGATAAAAACACTCACCAGGCGTCCAATTATTGCTAAACTCTTCTCTCAGAAAAATTGTTAAAGACTAAGCTGTTAGGGCAACTACTGAAGAAGATACGTAGATCGATGGTTTTATGATTAATATATAGTTAACATAAATATATTATTTAACATAATTTCACATCGACCTCCTCATTTGAAATCCAGTTCAATCCATCTACAGCGCATATCCGTCTCTGAATAAACTGACTATATATCACCAAATCTTCGCAAGTTGAGTACTCTGCAGGATTTTAGTGCTGATTGTATAAATCAGGAACGATACTCACGAAACCTTAAATTGGCGCAGCTAGAATCTAACCGGATACGGCTCGCTCTGATTGGGACTTGGCTGGTATAGGATTTTGAAAACCTCCTCATGAGAACGCAGTTTACTATGCGGTAATACAATGTTGTTTCCATGTCTAGTTGATGTCAAAAGTTAGCGAATGATTGAGATATTGATAATAAGTATTGGCAGTTTAGAGTAGTCGTGTTTCTTCAACTTGTGCTGCACATCGTATTTTTCCATGTTAAAACCTCTAGAAATTTGTCTCTGCCATCATGATGCTATGCACTGTTGGTTTGCTCATCGCGCCATTCCATGGATGTGTTGGACTCCCGGCCGGCTACACGACGTCAATTCATCACGGTCAACCCTACCCTTATTTTGAAGTTTTGTTGCATATCGCAATTCTTCACGCTGTGTTAAGCGTATATTCACCAGCCTGGCGTTGCATGTTATCTCGTGGCGTTATTTTCAGTGTTGAAATTATTTATGCGCAATTCTCAAGTCAAACGTGTCACTTCCTTAGAAACCTCGAATCTTGTTGTTTTGCTTGACGGATTGAGAACTCTTCTCAAATTCCTGTAAACATTTTGTTAGTAATAAAGGCTGATTAATAACTTAATCAACAGGTACAATTTTCTCTTGAGGTTCCACTGACTTTATTCTTCTTCTGTTTTGTTGGTTGAATTATTTCAAATGAGATTCTCGTGTATAGTAAACTAAATCGCCATACTTTAACGACAGGTTGTGATTATATCTGAGGTGACTTCTTCACATTTAAAATAAAACGAGACCCTACCTCGCGTCAATGTTTCCTCTATTTTTTTAGGATTGTAGGCCTTTCTTCTTTCAAACGGTGACGAAGGTAACGGTGGTTCTAGTATGCTGGCTACACAGCTCTATCGTCTAGCATGGATCTTCTCATGCCTCTTACAATCATTATTTCTCACAAAAGCCTTCCCGCACTCACTACACTTATATTGTCTCTCACCAGCATGACTCCTCATATGATTCCTCTGATGAAATCCTCTTGTGAATCTCTTCCCACACAACTCGCAAGCCCAAGGAGTCGCCGCTGTTGCCTTCGGCTTTCCGGCAAAAGTGTTCAACAAGTCTTCATGCTCGGGATGAAAAGTCTTTCGGTGTTTTTCTAGATCTTTGTTTGATGAGAATCCGAACTCTGCGATGGAACAGTCTGGGAAGACGCAATTGAAGGGTCGGTCATGCTTGTTAATGTGAAGTGTTCGGGATTTAAGGCCTTTGAAACCTTGATGGAAGTAGAAACATGTTGGGCGTGGGCATTTGAAGAGTTTGTCGCCGTAGAAGGTGATGATGTCGTGTGAAGGTGGAAGTAAAGACTCGAGGACCTTTCGATTCCGCAGCACGGATTTGTTGAGTGTCGGCAGACTTAGCTCCTTCTTGATTTCTTGATTTTGCATGTCGTACAAGTAGACATGGTTCCATACATACAAAAGATCTTTGTGATAATTACAGCCGTTGAAAGCTTCGCAGTCGTTTTGTATATCCTTTGCCAGCGCGCACCCGGTAAGATCTTCTTGGTATCGAGCGCAGAATTCTTCCAAACTCATACCAAGTTCTTGCAAAGCAGCCTGAGACTCGTGATCATGAATAGGTTGATTTGATGAGTTCAAAATGATAGCGCGAATGTGTTGAAGCCATTTGGCTGCAGCATAATCTTGAAACGCAAGGTAGCCATCTGATACGAGGGACGACAAACTATCTTGACTTATCTCGTTATCAAAACATTCAAATGTCAAATAACGGAGACATAATGAAGCTATATTGCATTCTACTACCAACGGACGGATGTGTTTACTGTTATTGATGTGTCTTTGAAACGGTCAGTGTTGGTGGTTCAGTGAACCTGGTTAAGATGACTTGGAATCACTCACATCTTGGCGGTAGTATGGACAAGTTCTACTCGATCCTCTGATAGAATTTGGATTAGCGAACCGCAGTACTCCTCGATACTACTTCGGAGGCGTCTTCCGTCGAAATCTATTTCTTGTGCGTCTGGATCAATGGAAAACGCGGCTTGTATTTCACGCCATTTAAGTGGCCGCTTTGCACAAACCATCCAGCCAAGTAACTTACGGACGATCTCCCACTGCTTGGCTTTCTTGCTGCGCTCTAGTCGACCCAGTATTCTCTCATAGCTATTCAATGATAAGCGCGTGACTTGATTTTATTACATTGTGTAGTTGAAACTCACGCTTCTCCTAATCCTTCTGGAAATTGATATGACTGAATTTCTGTCAACAGATTTGTTCGAGTCTCTTGCGCAAGCAGGTTTTCCATGACCAATTTTGCGTAAAGAAACATGCCTTTATTGTTGTCAGCAATCAATAAAGCAAGCCCCAGTTCAAGTAACGTACCATGAGATCGGAGGAAAGTCGATTCTGAGATGAAGTTCATCTGTGTTTCGTCTAGACTATTCTTATCTGAGATTATTTTCGACCAGTGATTGATGTAAGCTTCAATATCCCTTTCATTATCTTTCGAAGTGATTCTTAGATTTTCTGCCGTCTGAAGTCCTTTTGCAATGTCCGGGAAATCCTGGCTGATAAACAGTACGCGCAACTTCCCTGCATCTTTTTCATCGCATTTATTTACCATCATCGTGAAGAATGTCATGATCGACTTTCTTTGATCCGAGGTACACTCGTCCAATCCATCAATAACAATAGTCGATTTCTGAATCAGCTCAAATGACAATTTCAATAATTGTTCGGCTAGAACGGAAGAAGTCAGGTTGAGCTCTCCACTCATTTGGTACTTCTCGTAACAATATGGTATTAGCTCCCGACAATGATTTAGAAGCTGGCTCAGTAGACTGCGGAATATGGAAATGGACGTATTTTTCTCTGGGTCTTCTTCTCGACAGTAGAAATACGCTGTTGTTCGTGAATTATCTAGTAGACAACTTTCTATAATGGATGATGCGAGTATTGTTTTCCCTATTCGAATTAGCAATTACGATCCTCCAAATATCGTGCAAACATTGGATTTCTAAGCGACTGAAAACATTCTCGGGGCTTCGAGGATAAAGCACGTCGATCTCTTGTGACGGAGCGCATATCAAATAATTTTAAGACAGTGACAGGAGGGAATGTTGTGCACGCACCTGCGCCAGGAATACCGCTGACCCACAACATTGAGTTGACAGGAATACTAGTTTCCTTCCAGTTGTGGAATTTATCATGCTTCAGTATCCAAGTAGAACTTCCTGCATAAAACTTTCTCGTCGTGCAGAATTTCTCATGATCAGCTGTGGTGCTCTGCGCGGCGCAAAACCAATCTAATATTTCTCGATACTTCCGTCCCTCGTTTTCATTTTCTTCCCTTGCTAGACGTTCTAACCTTTCAAACCGATCTTTTTGGTACTGCTGTATATGCGAAAAGAGTTTCTGACTACTTCTCTGTGATTCTTCGTAATGCAGTTGCGCTGCCTGGCCATAATGCTCGACACGATCGTGAGTGGCCTGGATCTTTTTCTGGGCTTCCTCGTAATGTAGAAGCGCGGCTTGCTCTACGATGAGTTGCCTGTGTGACTTCAAGCCGTCGAGTAACCCCTTAAATTTTGTTTCGAAGTCTTTCCAGATGGAACGGAACAGGTGTCGCCACACCTCAGCTGTATCTTGTTAGCTATGTTCAAAAACAGCTACAAAGGACAGTCGCTCTTCGTTTTATACGTAGTTTAAGAGGGGTCCAAGGGACAATTTCTTGAACAAGAAAACGGACATTCGGTTTGAAAAACATTCGTAGAAGGACGTGATTTGTAAACATGTAATGTGTTGTATGTCTGGTAGGTAAAGTTTCCCACATTTGGTTTCTTTCATCTAAATAACACTTACTTTTGCCTCTGAACATTCGTACCGCTTTTAAATGAAAATCGAGAATATCTTGATACAAAAAGGCCAGAACGCGAACCATTTCAGGCTTGGAACCAAACAGGGATTCGTACTGTGTCAAATGTGGCATATGTTCGCCGATTTGGCGGTATGCATCAAGTATTGTATCAAAACTGTTGGCCCAAGTACTCGCATTCTGTCCATTTGTCAGTTGTGACGTCTTCGACCTCTGAAAGTGTAAAAGACTGAAAAGCCTCACACTGCAAATAGGGTTTCAAACCGGTCAAGCATTAATATTGCGAGATGTTATGGCTGAAACCGTCTGACAAAACTTTTATAGTCTTCCAGTTGACCGATATTCAATAGAGTTCACATACCTGCAGAATGAACTTCATCGGACCCCACACGGCGCAAACAAAGATATGAGCGTTCGCAAAGACCTCGACAACCTTTCCGAACTGGGTCATTGCCTCAAGGAATGACTGTACACGAGTCATATTCATCATTGTCTTTAGATTTTCCTGGTCCCTCTGAATACCGAGAACAGCAAGTTGTACATCTTTCAAAGTCACAAATTCGAAATCCTCCAACTCTTTTGTTGTGAGGTGCTTTTTGAAATTGACTAGAATGTCTTCGAAAGGGCTTTGAAGATTGGCCATCTTTGCCTAGGTTCATGTTGGAGTCGCTCTACAGGCCTTTGGAATTGAGGCTTCGATTAATCAAGAGCTTTCGAGTACCAATGTTCCAATGTTACAATTGATGCTTTCTCAAGTGAACGAGACCTTGCCGTTTAAATTTTAAGAGAGGCGACCAAACGTCCCGAGAGGTTTGCCTCCCAGGTTGTTGGCTGAAGAACATATCAGTAATTATTGTTTCACGACAACGGGTGAAGTGGTGTGGCTAGACTCTCCAAGGCAAGATAAAAAGCACGGAAGTTGACCGACGTGCACTGCAATTTTAGCGCTGGAAACCCTGTTGTAATCACCATCGGACCAATAGCCATTCCATAAAAGAGATAAGGCTTCGGGCCGCAGCGGCCACTCGGTCTGCCTTGTCAGAAGCCAAAAAAAAGGCCCCAGAGACCATGAAGGAAGGTCTGTTAAATCCCACCATTTATCGGCCTCTTTGTTTCACGAAGTAGAGGTGGTAGATAATTGTATGAAAACTCCAGCAAAAATCGTGTATAACGAGCCGGAATTTGCCAAGAGTCGGTTCTTTATATCATTGATCAATCCATAGATAAAAAGGTGGAAAACACTGTTGCAATCATGTCTGAGTGCTTCACAATGACTTCAACACATTGGATGCAGATCTTGCAACATGGTCGTGATGGTGCAATAACGTCAATTACTCCCACTTTGTCTACGCCCTCAAGTAATACCAAAACTTCCCATCGTGAACGCTGACCGAGTATGGATGGTCGCCCACAGACTCGGCCAGAACTTGCTTCCCGTAAATGGTAAAGCTTGCCACGAATCCGATGTTTCAGATGGTACGGGCGAAGCAGATCTCACTGTAGCCCACCTGCGTCGTCTGCACTAAAATTGCAGTGCAAATTCAGTATGCCGACACATTGGACTCCGCCTTAAGAAGCTACCGGCAAGCTGCACTTACTGTAACCAGAGATTAAAAGTGAGGCGAGCGAGCCTTATGCCCCTTGTTCTGAATGCATCCCGGAAAACAACAGGATTTTGCCGAATCTGCCTAACCTGTGGGAAGAAGAGTCCACTGATGTAGTTCCCGTGATTAGTGAACTAACAAAATCATATACCTGTAGTCTGATCGGTCGGACGCGATACGTTGAGACTGAAGAGTGGTGTTTACATTGTGCGGGTTAAATTTGCGGTGTATTTCGGCCTCCTTTTATCGACTAACTAAATTATACAGGTCTAAATATTAGTATTAGAGAAGTTTTATAACTTATAGAATTATAATTAA